GCAGAGATTCAGGCGCTCCAGATTGGACTCGAGATTGCTGCCTCGATCTCCTCTCACGTTTGGATAGAGATGGATGCTGCGGCTGTCATCACACTTTTGACATCTGGCCACCAGGGCTCATGGCAGATCCAGCATCCTCTTATGCGTATCAGAGACACCCTTCGTACGATCCATTACCAGGCCTCTCATATCTTCCGGGAGGGGAACCGGCCTGCCGATTTCCTCGCTAGCACGGGGGCATCTATACCCCAGAGACGCACCCTCCTTCCTGAGGACATTCCCCTCAGGCTTCGGACACTCATTCGGATGGACCAGTTAGAGTACCCATCCTTCAGATTCGGTCGACCGCCACCTCCTGCCCCTGACTAGATTCGGCCGACCTCTTATGAGGATTCGATTTCAGACTCTCATCGTTATGTGATCTTTGTAGTTTTATTTCTTGGTTTGTTTTTTAGTTTTATTTTTCTTTTTATTTTCTATTTTCTCTGCTTTTGTTGTTGATCCATGTACTTCTGACTCGGATGTAGACCATTGACTTTATCAGCCCTAGCTGGGCCTTATATTCACAGGTTGGGGGTGTAGCCTCAACCCCCCATCCCAATCTGGGATGTTGTTTTTTCAAAAAAAAAAAAAAAAAGTTGTGCCTGATGACATGACTTTTATGAATCAAGTCCTTTAAACTTTCTAATTTTCTCTCTTGTCATGACTTGGCGTATCACAAAATTTATATTTATAATTATAATTTTGTAATTCTTTTAACAATTATCATTAATACATTCATTATGCAATTAGTATAATACCCGTGTATTTTACACTGGTATTTGTTAAAAAATTTATATTTAAAATTAAAAATAATAAAAAAATTATTTTAATTTTCAAATACTTTTTTTGAATAACAATATTACTATTTGTATTTAAAATAACACTCATCAACTATAATACGACTTATCATCTTATATTATAATAAATTTTAAATTGTATCATTTAGGAACTTTGTAGTTAAATTGATTGAAAAAAAAAAATAATTAATATTAATAGGCAATTTATTTTTTATATAGAGATAAATATAATTTTATTTACTATGTATGTACAATATAGATATTAAATCCAAACACATCAAGACATGATTAATTTGATATATTATGCATAAAAAAAGTAAACATAAATAAAAAAATTATTAACTTTTAAATCTACTTATAATTAAAGTTAATGTTCTTTTCACAATTTTAAAAGAAAGGTGAGGATAAAAATAAAGATTGAGGAAACAAATTTATATCTTACATATCACGTCTACAATAGAAAATGCGACATAATTAATGATCTTAAAAATGATCATAACTATTTAGTATATTATGGCTATCTCAAACGTAATTATTTTTTGATTGCAAGTAATTAAAATTCATCAAAACAAAATGACAAAACATGAAAATTTACCATATATGATTTCGAAACATGCGAATCAGCCACTTAGGTTTAGCTGCACCTCCAAAAATT